AAACTGCATGCCAAAAGTTCTCCAAGCTAAATCTAATGGTAACTGTTAAGTATAACTTGGTTACCTTACGTTATTATTTACGATATAAATTTAAGAATATTTTAATGTTGTGTAATTGTGTTGTGATTATATTTTAAATCACATTTTTGGGTATTCAGATAATGTAATTTTTATATTAATATTTAACTTAGCTTAAGGCCATGTCACTTTATTATTAAACTGATTTACTATTGAGAACCACAATAATTATGTTATTATACTTATYTTTATAAATTGATTCGTTTGGATTTAAATTAAACCTCATTAAAACAATAATAATTAATTTTTATTTTTGCAAACAATAGAAATGTAATCATACTAATTATAGTTAGATATCAGTAGGCACTGACGAGTGACGACAGATCAATTATTTTGGTGTTTATATTGTAATATTATTGTACTATTGGTTAAATAACATAAATATTTTTTGTTATAATATATTTTTATTTTGATACCACTATAATGGTTTTAACCAGAAATAGCCCGAATCAAAATTCCCGAATGGATTTTTTCCCGAACACCTTTTTCCCGAATCAAAATTCCCGAATGGTATTATACCAGAAAATTCGAAAACCCGAAACCTTTTTTCCCGAATATAAATTATAATACGTATAAAATATATAAATGAATTAGTAAAATTAAAAATAACATAATAAATCCTGTAATATACCTAATGTTTAATATTTTAAAACCAATAAATTATAATACGTATAAAATATAAAAATGAATTGGTAAAATTAATAATAATATAATAAATCCCGTAGTGTAATAAAATATTTTTAAATAATTAAATTATAATACGTATGTCGTATAAAATATAAAAATGAATTGGTAAAATTAATAATAACATAATAAATCCAGTAATGTACCTAATGTTTAGTTTTCACCATGATGGCGAAGTAAAATAAAATTAAAAAAGCTTATACAATATAACGCACTGAAAATTAAAACGAAAGTATAACCACAACTAATAGTACGCGAATAACGAGACTTTTCGATTACAACAATTACAACGATATACAAGCGATACTAATCATAATAATAGCACAGATTATATATAATACAGGGTGATTCTTTTATCAAACAACACTTATATGGYGTTTGTKTGTAAATMCCACCTAACATACACCTATAACACACAAACACCACCCAACTTTGGGAGGCTATATCTTGTAAACGAATTGACGAAAAATG